CCCCCCCCTAACTTGTGTATAACTTGTGTATAACTTGTGTATAACTTGTGTATAACTTGTGTATAACTTGTGTATAACTTGTGTATGCAAGCTCGCCTCCTGCTCACATCAACTACATAGCTTATAATTTCCCTCCTTCCTGTAACTTTTAGAAGGGCTGCCTCCTTGCTTTTGTCTTGTAAGTTTTACTGTTCCCTTTTTTTTAGATATATCAGATTCATATATATTTAAGAGATTTATATTTTTTACATATGAAATATTTTATATCAAAATATTTCATATGTTAACAAAATATAATTCTCTATATATATATAGAATCTAATATATTAACAACAAAAAGGGTCGTATGTAATACTTACAAGACAAAAGCTAGGAGTCTTCCCCCCCCCCTTGCATACACAAGTTAAGGTTGGGAAAAATAAGTAAACAAAATAGTTGAGTAACGAAGTATGCATACTTCGTTAGCATAGCGCAAGCTATCGCATGCAAGCTATGAGGGGAGGTTGATACCCCTACCCCCCTAACTTGTGTATGCAAGCTCTTGGTGGTTTGCCATGTGTCGAATTAGTCATTCTGACTACATTCGACTTGGCAAACCGCCAACTCCCCCCCCCCCCACATCTCCCTCCCTTTTTCATTATTATATTATAATAAGGAAAAAGGGGAGGCACCCGTAGCTTTGCTACGTTATAGATGTAGGGAGGTTGGTATAGACTAGTGTGGCTAACAGTTAGGAAGCTACGAAGGCTTAACGATGTAGTAGGTAGGGAGGCTGGCATACTCTACCTTAGCACCCCCTAGCAAGCTACCCCTGTCCTGTCCTATGCTTCGCTCCGTTGGTTATCGAAGGTTAACGAAGGTTAACGATGGTTAACGATGGTTAACGTAGGGGAGCTTGATAGCTTGCCAGCCCAAAAAGGTTAACAATGGGCTGGCAAGCTATCAAGCTCCCCCCCCTGGTTATTAATTAGTTTGAAAAGTATGGATCCTTTGATTATAGGTGGTCAGGTACTCTACTCACGTAGTGTATGGGTGGTTAGTTAAGGAAGGCAGAGCTTGCGCCAGCAGCTAAATTTATTAGCTGCTGGCGCAAGCTCTGCCATATTACGATGGCTAAATTTATTAATATAACAAGAGCACTCAGATTTGAACTGAGAAAGAAAAGTTTGGAGCTTTTCATTTTACCTTTAAATTACACTCTTAACAATCCTTGTATGTTTTTTATTTAAATGTATTTTTTTGTTTTGTTTTTGTTTTTGTTTTTTGTTTTTTTTGTTTTTGTTTTTGTTTTTGTTTTTATATTAATTACGTGCGTAGGTACGGGAAGCTGTCCTGTCCTATACATTCATAATGTAGAGTATGCCTGCACTAAAAGTTGAATTGAGGGCGCTACATAAGACATGCTCGCTCTAAAGTGGGAGTATATTTTCACCTATTAAATTATACACTTAATAAAATTTTATTTCCCTATTTCTCAGGGATAATTTTAATTGTCCTAGCCGAATGGCAGTTTAACTACCCAACTTAGTGGAAAGGCCAGCCCGACTTGCATATAAATATATGCGTGGTGCTACTTAGTGGAAAGGCCAGCCCGACTTGCATATATAAATATATGCGTGGTGCTACTAGTGGCGGAAGCTACCCCCCCCCCCCGTTTAACTACCCAAGGGATAGCTTGCGAGCTATCATCAACAATTTTTTTTTATGCAAAGCTATGTTTTGATGTAGCTGCACCCCCCCCCCCTCTTTTTGGCCTCCTGCTCACATCAACAACATAGCTTTGCATCAACAAAAAAATTGTTGATGTGAGGGAGGAAGGTTATACGAATAAAAAGAATTTGAGTACCAAGGGATAGCTTGCGAGCTATCATCGACGACATAGTGAAACTATGTAGTTGATTAGCTGCAACCACCACCCCCCCCTAACTTGTGTATAACTTGTGTATAACTTGTGTATGCAAGCTCGCCTCCTGCTCACATCAACTACATAGCTTATAATTTCCCTTCCTGTAACTTTAGAAGGGCTGCATAGCTCCGCTACCTCCTTGCTTTTGTCTTGTTAGTTTTACTGTTCCCTTTTTTTTAGATATATCAGATTCATATATATTTAAGAGATTTATATTTTTTACATATGAAATATTTTATATCAAAATATTTCATATGTTAACAAAATATAATTCTCTATATATATATAGAATCTAATATATTAACAACAAAAAGGGTCGTATGTAATACTTAAAGACAAAAGCTAGGAGTCTTCCTTGCATACACAAGTTAGGTTGGGCAAAATAAGTAAAACAAAATAGTTGAGTAACGAAGTATGCATACTTCGTTAGCATACTTCGTTAGCAAGCTATGAGGGAGGTTGATACCCCCCCCCCTACCCCCCCCCCTAGATACCCTACCCTAACTTGTGTATGCAAGCTCGCCTACCCCCCCCCTAACTTGTGTATGCAAGCTCGCCTGCCCTTTGGTGGATTGCCATGTGTCGAATTATTCAGAATCTGAATATATTCGACTTGGCAATCCGCCAAACCCCCCCCCCCACATCTCCCTCCCTTTTTCATTATTATATTATAATAAGGAAAAAGGGGAGGCACCCGTAGCTTTGCTACGTTATAGATGTAGGGAGGTTGGTATAGACTAGTGTGGCTAACAGTTAGGAAGCTACGAAGGCTTAACGATGTAGTAGGTAGGGAGGCTGGCATACTCTACCTTAGCACCCCCTAGCAAGCTACCCCTGTCCTGTCCTATGCTTCGCTCCGTTGGTTATCGAAGGTTAACGAAGGTTAACGATGGTTAACGATGGTTAACGTAGGGGAGCTTGATAGCTTGCCAGCCCAAAAAGGTTAACAATGGGCTGGCAAGCTATCAAGCTCCCCCCCCCTGGTTATTAATTAGTTTGAAAAGTATGGATCCTTTGATTATAGGTGGTCAGGTACTCACTCTACTCACGTAGTGTATGGGTGGTTAGTTAAGGAAGGCAGAGCTTGCGCCAGCAGCTAAATTTATTAGCTGCTGGCGCAAGCTCTGCCATATTACGATGGCTAAATTTATTAATATAACAAGAGCACTCAGATTTGAACTGAGAAAGAAAAGTTTGGAGCTTTTCATTTTACCTTTAAATTACACTCTTAACAATCCTTGTATGTTTTTATTTAAATGTATTTTTTTGTTTTTGTTTTTTTGTTTTTGTTTTTTTTTGTTTTGTTTTTGTTTTTGTTTTTATATTAATTACGTGCGTAGGTACGGGAAGCTGTCCTGTCCTATACATTCATAATGTAGAGTATGCCTGCACTAAAAGTTGAATTGAGGGCGCTACATAAGACATGCTCGCTCTAAAGTGGGAGTATATTTTCACCTATTAAATTATACACTTAATAAAATTTTATTTCCCTATTTCTCAGGGATAATTTTAATTGTCCTAGCCGAATGGCAGTTTAACTACCCAACTTAGTGGAAAGGCCAGCCCGACTTGCATATATAAATATATGCGTGGTGCTACTTAGTGGAAAGGCCAGCCCGACTTGCATATATAAATATATGCGTGGTGCTACTAGTGGCGGAAGCTACCCCCCCCCCCCGTTTAACTACCCAAGGGATAGCTTGCGAGCTATCATCAACAATTTTTTTTTTTTTTTTTTTTATCAAAGGTTATGTTTGATGTAGCTGCACCCCCCCCCCCCTCCTTTTGGGCCTCCTGCTCACATCAACAACATAGCCTTGCATCAACAAAAAAATTGTGATGTGAGGGAGGAAGGTTATTACGAATAAAAAGAATTTTAAGTACCAAGGGATAGCTTGCGAGCTATCATCGACGACATAGTGAAACTATGTAGTTTGATTAGCTGCAAAACCCCCCCCCCCCTAACTTGTGTATAACTTGTGTATAACTTGTGTATAACTTGTGTATACTGTGTATAACTTGTGTATAACTTGTGTATGCAAGCTCGCCCCTCTGCTCACATTCAACTACATAGCTTATAATTCCCCTTCCTTCCTGTAACTTTTAGAAGGCTGGCATAGTCGCACCTCCTTGCTTTTGTCTTGTAAGTTTTACTTAATGTTCCCTTTTTTTTTAGATATATCAGATTATATATATTTAAGAGATTTATATTTTTACATATGAAATATTTTATATCAAAATATTTCATATGTTAACAAAATATAATTCTCTATATATATATAGAATCTAATATATTAACAACAAAAAGGGTCGTATGTAATACTTAAAGACAAAAGCTAGGAGTCTTCCTTGCATACACAAGTTAGGTGGGCAAAATAAGTAAAACAAAAATAGTTGAGTAACGAAGTATGCATACTTCGTTAGCATACTTCGTTAGCAAGCTATGAGGGAGGTTGATACCCTACCCCCCCCCCTAACTTGTGTATGCAAGCTCGCCTGCCCTTTGGTGGATTGCCATGTGTCGAATTATTCAGAATCTGAATATATTCGACTTGGCAATCCGCCAAACCCCCCCCCCCCCACATCTCCCTCCCTTTTTCATTATTATATTATAATAAGGAAAAAGGGGAGGCACCCGTAGCTTTGCTACGTTATAGATTAGGGAGGTTGGTATAGACTAGTGTGGCTAACAGTTAGGAAGCTACGAAGGCTTAACGATGTAGTAGGTAGGGAGGCTGGCATACTCTACCTTAGCACCCCCTAGCAAGCTACCCCTGTCCTGTCCTATGCTTCGCTCCGTTGGTTATCGAAGGTTAACGAAGGTTAACGATGGTTAACGATGGTTAACGTAGGGGAGCTTGATAGCTTGCCAGCCCAAAAAGGTTAACAATGGGCTGGCAAGCTATCAAGCTCCCCCCCCTGGTTATTAATTAGTTTGAAAAGTATGGATCCTTTGATTATAGGTGGTCAGGTACTCTACTCACGTAGTGTATGGGTGGTTAGTTAAGGAAGGCAGAGCTTGCGCCAGCAGCTAAATTTATTAGCTGCTGGCGCAAGCTCTGCCATATTACGATGGCTAAATTTATTAATATAACAAGAGCACTCAGATTTGAACTGAGAAAGAAAAGTTTGGAGCTTTTCATTTTACCTTTAAATTACACTCTTAACAATCCTTGTATGTTTTTTATTTAAATGTATTTTTTTGTTTTTGTTTTTTTTGTTTTTGTTTTTTTTGTTTTTGTTTTTGTTTTTGTTTTTATATTAATTACGTGCGTAGGTACGGGAAGCTGTCCTGTCCTATACATTCATAATGTAGAGTATGCCTGCACTAAAAGTTGAATTGAGGGCGCTACATAAGACATGCTCGCTCTAAAGTGGGAGTATATTTTCACCTATTAAATTATACACTTAATAAAATTTTATTTCCCTATTTCTCAGGGATAATTTTAATTGTCCTAGCCGAATGGCAGTTTAACTACCCAACTTAGTGGAAAGGCCAGCCCGACTTGCATATATAAATATATGCGTGGTGCTACTTAGTGGAAAGGCCAGCCCGACTTGCATATATAAATATATGCGTGGTGCTACTAGTGGCGGAAGCTACCCCCCCCCCCGTTTAACTACCCAAGGGATAGCTTGCGAGCTATCATCAACAATTTTTTTTTTTTTTTTTTTTATGCAAAGCTATGTTTTGATGTAGCTGCACCCCCCCCCCCTCTTTTTGGCCTCCTGCTCACATCAACAACATAGCTTTGCATCAACAAAAAAATTGTTGATGTGAGGGAGGAAGGTTATACGAATAAAAAGAATTTGAGTACCAAGGGATAGCTTGCGAGCTATCATCGACGACATAGTGAAACTATGTAGTTGATTAGCTGCAAAAACCCCCCCCCCCTAACTTGTGTATAACTTGTGTATAACTTGTGTATAACTTGTGTATAACTTGTGTATAACTTGTGTATAACTTGTGTATGCAAGCTCGCCTCCTGCTCACATCAACTACATAGCTTATAATTTCCCCTTCCCTTCCTGTAACTTTTAGAAGGGCTGCCTCCTTGCTTTTGTCTTGTAAGTTTTACTGTTCCCTTTTTTTTAGATATATCAGATTCATATATATTTAAGAGATTTATATTTTTTACATATGAAATATTTTATATCAAAATATTTCATATGTTAACAAAATATAATTCTCTATATATATATAGAATCTAATATATTAACAACAAAAAGGGTCGTATGTAATACTTACAAGACAAAAGCTAGGAGTCTTCCCCCCCCCTTGCATACACAAGTTAGGTTGGGAAAAATAAGTAAACAAAATATGTTTCGCAAGCTATGAGGGAGGAAGGTATAGACTACTAGTGGCTAACAGTTAGGAAGCTACAGACTACGTGTAGGGAGGCGCTCCTGGCCTCGCGCTCCTGGCGCTCCTGGCGCTCCTGGCCTCGCGCTCCTGGCCTCGCGCTCCTGGCGCTCCTGGCGCTCCTGGCCTCGCGCTCCTGGCGCTCCTGGCGCTCCTGGGCGCTCCTGGCGCTCCTGGGCGCTCCTGGGCGCTCCTGGCGCTCCTGGCGCTCCTGGCGCTCCTGGGCGCTCCTGGCGCTCCTGGGCGCTCCTGGCGCTCCTGGGCGCTCCTGGCGCTCCTGGGCGCTCCTGGGCGCTCCTGGCGCTCCTGGCGCTCCTGGCGCTCCTGGCGCTCCTGGCGCTCCTGGCGCTCCTGGCGCTCCTGGCGCTCCTGGCGCTCCTGGCGCTCCTGGCGCTCCGCTCCCCCCCCCCCTACCCGCTCTAGGCTAAAGTTGTGGCTGTAAAAGGTCCCTAGCTTGCTGGCCCCCCCCCCTAACAAAGTGTAAGGCTGGACGATAGTTATAAAGATAGGCATACTCTACATTGGGTATCTACCGCTCGTAATTGTAGTAGGAAGGGATCGCATTTATTTTTAATGCAGGAAGACTTTCCTTATTTACTGGCGCGAATGAAATGCTGGCGCTAGCTCGCCCCTTGGTGGATTGCCATGTGTCGAATTAGTCATTCTGACTACATTCGACTTGGCAATCCGCCAAACCCTCTCCCCCCCCCCCCCCCTTTTATTATTATAATTATTTATAATAATAAAAGGGGTTTTCTTTAATATATTATGAAAAAAAAAATGAGAGACATATATAGATACATATATATACAGAGGATCATATATTCAACATATGAATATATAATCCACTTTATATATTAGTATCTATATATGGCGTGTTATTTTTCCCAACCTGTTTTTTTTTCGGGCTTGCGCCCGTCTCTACTCTCTCATAGCTTTTACAAAGCAATGAGAGAGAGAGGGAGGTAAGAAAAAAAAATATGAAGCCTCCCCCTCCTCCTCTCTCTCTCGAGAGAGAGAGAGAGAGGGGAGGGCACTCCCTAACTGTTACCCCCCCCCCCTTGTTAAAGGGCTGCCTCCTCCTTGCTTTTGTCTTGTAAGTATTACTTTAATGTTCCCTTTTTTTTAGATATATCAGATTCATATATATTTAAGAGATTTATATTTTTTACATATGAAATATTTTATATCAAAATATTTCATATGTTAACAAAATATAATTCTCTATATATATATAGAATCTAATATATTAACAACAAAAAGGGTCGTATGTAATACTTACAAGACAAAAGCTAGGAGGTAGCGGAGCTATGCAGCCCCCCCCTAACAAGGGGCTTCGCATATTTTTTTTCTTTCTGAAAAAAAAAGGGAAGGGAAATATGGAGGGCATTTTAATTATATTAGATTCAAATCTAGTAAATAATTGGAAAAGGCATTTAATTCACTAACAGCTGAAGCTCTTATGCGCAGCCTCCCCCCCCCCTACCCCCCCCCCCTACTCCCTACCCCCCCCCCCCTACTCCCTACCCCCCCCCCCTACTCCCTACCCCCCCCCCCCTACTCCCTACCCCCCCCCCTACTCCCACCCCCCCCTACTCCCTACCCCCCCCCCCTACTCCCTACCCCCTACTCCCTACCCCCCCCCCTACTCCCTACCCCCCCCCTACTCCCACCCCCCCCCCCCCCACCCCCCCCCTACCCCACCCCCCCCTACTCCCTACCCCCCCCCCTACTCCCTACCCCCCCCCCCTACTCCCTACCCCCCCCCCCCCTACCCCTACCCCCCCCCTACTCCCTACCCCCCCCCCCCCTACCCCTACCCCCCCCCCTACTCCCTACCCCCCCCCCCCTACTCCCCACCCCCCCCCCCCTACTCCCTACCCCCCCCCCCCCCTCTACTCCCTACCCCCCCCCCTACTCCCTACCCCCCCCCCTACTCCCTCATATTCATAATCGTAATTGTACAGATAGTTATAAAATAGGCCTCCCTCATAATCATAATTATAATTGTCCTAGTAGGGAACCTACCCTTACATAAATTAGATACGTGCTCCGGACTAACTAGTGCTACTAGTGCCAACTAGTAGTTGGAGCTGCTTCAACTACCGTAGTATCTTGTGCCCAACTAGTAGTGCCCCCCTACGTTTAACTACTCTCCCTATATAAAACCGGAAGGGTACTTTTAATTAGGGTGGGAGGGCTAACTTTCCCCTTTTTTTTGAGTATCATAGATTCTTTCCTCTTCTCTCTCTTTCTCCTCTCTCTATAGAGAGAGAGAGAGAAAGAGTGGGAAGAAAGCTATATAGTCCCTCCTCCTCCTCCCTCTCTTTTCCTCTCTAAAAGAGGGAAAAGAGTGGTACGTTCCTAGAGGAGGGGGGCCAAGAATTATATTTTTTGACATATGATTTTTTCTTATCGAAAAAATCATATGCAAAAAATATAATTCTCTCGTCTATATATGAATCTATAATACCTAAAAAAGGGTTAGGGACTACCTATACGCTTCTGACTAAAGTACAGGCAGTTTGGGGGGATTAAAAAAATAAGGCAGGTGCGGTAGCTTGCTAGCCGTAAATTAATTTAAAATGCTTCGCTAACAGTTAAGAGCGAAGCGCTAGTGTAACTTGTTAGTATGGTAGGTAGGGGAGGCTAGCATACTCTACCTTAGCACCCTAAGCAAGCTACCCCCCCCCGTCCCTGTCCTATCCGTAGTATGCATTTAATTTTTCTTTAGCTCCAGTATGGTAGCTAGCTACTATACTAGTTAGGAGCTAAAGCTAGAGTTTAAATGAATTTGCTGGGATAAATTATGCACTTGGTAGGGAACCTACTCAGCTCAAGACCAAGGTAGGCCTTAAATTGAAGAGCATACTACGTATAGGAAGGGGGGGGGGGAGCGGAGCGCCAGGAGCGCCAGGAGCGCCAGGAGCGCCAGGAGCGCCAGGAGCGCCAGGAGCGCCAGGAGCGCCAGGAGCGCCAGGAGCGCCAGGAGCGCCAGGAGCGCCAGGAGCGCCAGGAGCGCCAGGAGCGCCAGGAGCGCCCAGGAGCGCCCAGGAGCGCCAGGAGCGCCAGGAGCGCCAGGAGCGCCAGGAGCGCCAGGAGCGCCAGGAGCGCCAGGAGCGCCAGGAGCGCCAGGAGCGCCCAGGAGCGCCCAGGAGCGCCAGGAGCGCCAGGAGCGCCAGGAGCGCCCAGGAGCGCCAGGAGCGCCAGGAGCGCCAGGAGCGCCAGGAGCGCCCAGGAGCGCCCAGGAGCGCCAGGAGCGCCAGGAGCGCCCAGGAGCGCCAGGAGCGCCCAGGAGCGCCAGGAGCGCCAGGAGCGCCCAGGAGCGCCAGGAGCGCCCAGGAGCGCCAGGAGCGCCAGGAGCGCCCAGGAGCGCAAGGAGCGCAAGGAGCGCCAGGAGCGCAAGGAGCGCCAGGAGCGCCAGGAGCGCAAGGAGCGCCTCCCCCCCCCCTACCCCTGCATACTACGTATAGAGAGGGGGGGGGGGGTAGGGAACCTATCCTACCCTCTGCATACGGTACGTACTAAAATTTTTCATCAGCACTACTATAGTAGCTAGCTACCCCCCCCCCTACGCAGTGCATCGTAAACGAAGCCATGATGTTAAAATATAAAGCTTACGCTTTATATTTTAATTTTCTCACTAGTAGTCCGCTGTTTTGTTTTAAAAACAAAATATAAGAAAGAAGCAGGAGGCGCTACATTAGTAAGCCTACTTTAGTAAGCCGCCGCTTTACGGAAAAGAGATGATTTGCTTACACTTAGATGTTCAAATCATCTCTTTTCCGTAAAGCGGCGGCTT